CGATAACGAAATAAAAAATAATGCATGATACAATGTAATTTTTTACGGAGGAATAAATCCCACTAGCAAGTTTTTGTCAAGTTCAATTATAAAATTTACCAGAATAAACTATATGTTGGAATATAATTTTGCTTAGCCGTCCGATTTCCATCGATGATGCTTGAATTCCATGTCTATAGATCCATTTGACACTTGTAAGTGTTCATTGTATGGACTACACATAGTTTTAAAATATCACGGGTTTCATGAGCGCCGAATGTTTATTAAGCTGTGCAGCCTTTCGGCACCCACAAGGAAAGACGTAAAACATGGAGGAAAGAGAATAATTATACATGAATGCGACTTATCCCAATATTTTACCTCGCATATGAGAAACTGCATATGGACGAATTTGTAATATAACACTCAGAAATAAATTTAGACAAGCATCCATTAAATAAAATGTTTATGTCAGGCTAAAAAAATATAAAATTTCCGTATTTATATCAGATTTTTTTATAACACTTAAAACGTATTCTAAGCTTTAGAGTCGTGTTTGTTGACGGTAGAATTGTCATAAATATTATATCATTCTTAAATGAGCATAAAATTTACAAAGAGTTTGTTCCTAAAAAATCTTTTGATCAAAAAACTTTAAAACCACGTGTTTTATTTATTTTTTCATGGGTTTGTCTAAATTCTGTTATCTGATTGGTCAGAAGGACTAGCACATTGTTTATTCTGTGTATTTATAGCAGTTCACGGTTATCGCTCTTGACTTCCTTATTTAGAAATCGTCCAGACCTGTTTAACCAATTTTAATGTTTACAATTCCTACCTAAGGCTTCATCTATTGAAAAGCAGAAATTTGAACATCATTTGTTGATTAACAAACAAGATACAGAACTTAAAAGTTCTTCTTAATGTAAACAAGGCTCGTGCCTTGTTTTTGTTTACATATAAACATATGAATTTCCCTTACTTATGCAGCAATATACCTCCATCACCTGCATACGGAGTGTATATATCTCAGTTGATTCGATACGCAAGAGCATGTTCTACGTATGAACAATTTCTAAAACGAGGTAAATTATTGACAAGCAAGTTGATAAAACAAGAATATCAACAGTCTCGTTTAAAGTCATCATTTCGTAAAATCTATGGTCGATACAATGACCTTGTCAGCAAATACAATTTATCATTGAGTCAAATGCTGACTCACGTTTTTTTCATACTAATTGTTGGTCTATTATTTATACACTGAATTGACGACGTATTTTCCCGTTATTTCCCGATTATGACGAGGAGCACACGGCGGGTGTGACCGGTCGGCAGGGGATTCTCGATCACACCTCCATGGCACCTGATCCCCCCTCTGATGTTTCGGAGGTCCGTGTTTGCTCTGCTCCCACTTGTATTTTGTATTATTTTATAGACTGTGATATTGAATATTGTTTGTTATATCCATAATCCTTCTCATCATATTTAAAACAAAATGAAGTTAAGCAAATCAATATTAACTGTCGAATCGTATGTACATTGTAAAATTTACTTTTATTTGAAATTATCAACTTTGATCGAAATATATTAGTATATTACCTAAGTAAACAAAAACTTGAAACTAACCTTGTTTACATAACAAAGATTTGGAGCTCTAAATCTGTCTTGTATCTGGACAACTGACGTTCAAATCTTTGATGATCATTAAAAAGTCCCTAGTTAAATATTTGTAAAAATTGAAAAATAAATTTTGAAATTTTAGCTGAAACTGTGTTCATGTCCCTTTAAAGGACAGGAAATGAGAAAATAAAGATCAAAACTAGGTTGCATGTTTCCTCAAAGCAACTTTGATTATTATAAGTAAAAACAATTCATTGTTGTAAATCTTGAATAAATGTTTATTAAAATCGTATAAAAGAAGTTTCGTTAATGATAAATAAAAGCATTCATCAATACCGATTCTTCAAGAAACAAGTGCAATTTCTTAAAGGGGGGACCTATGTCGTTCAACGTCAAAGCAGCGTTATGTGACGTCACAATAGCGAACGTTTGATTTTTTTTTTTACCTGTTGACTTTTGCAAATGTGATATAGGCATAACATTGTTATTAATTAATAACATACACATTTTACAAAAAAAAATTATTCAACACTAATAACAGTTTTATTTGCTTTATGAAGTTTGTTAATATCAGAATTTTCTTCCTTTGGTAGATACTTCATAGCAATTTCAGTTGTGAAGAAATACCTCGATGATATGCTGATATACAGTTGTATGTGCAAAAAGATTTAAGATAAAATTTAGCAAAGAAAGCGGCTTAAACTGGGGAAATATTTTAATTTTATGCTTACCATTTATTGTATTTTTTTGGATAAAACTAAACAAAAATTAGAAATGTGCTTGTACCTATATTTGCTTATTGATTTGTTGTACTGTACATGTAGAATTTATTGCATAAAGTCATTCCTAGGTTCTAATAGGTGTTGGTTGTTGACGTGGAAAGGGGGGGGGGGGGGGCAGAAAGATTAGAATGAAGAAGAAAAGAATTAAACTGTTTAAATGTTTCTAATCAAAACAAATACTCATTTTTCGCAAATGTTTGTCAGTGCTAACTTATCTCTTTTTTAGTGCAGAAAGGTCAATATTTATGACACAAGAGTACAAAAATAAAAGAAAATGTCTTATTTCTCGTTTATTTTATCATAAAGGTATACTTTTTTCCTTGCTAAAATCAAGAGATGAATCGTTTCTTTCAAAAAATATGAATTACGACTTTTCACACAAAGACTTTTTAAAATATTACCTGTTATGCATGTCGGAATTGTAAAAAATACGACAAGAAAAAACAGGATGATACTTACACGTACTAGACAACATTGCTAACGCACCACCTAATGAAAATAATATTTTACTTTTCAAAACTTGTTTACGATGTATTTGATATAGTATTCTGTTACAAAATTAAAAAATAAATCATTTAAATGTCTTATTTGATAAATTACTACAATGTTAACTGAAGTGTGACCATTTCAAAGAAAACCTGAAAATCGTGTTCATACTAATTTGGAGGGATAAATTTCTAATTTTTACTTTGCATTTTTGTTTTTTATGTTTGTACAAATTAGAAAATCAGAAAAAAATTATACAGTATGCGGCATTTGATCCTAGGTGAACGTGATGAAACAGACAGTTTGGTGTCTGCAGGCAGTACCCTTGGAAAGATATGAAAAATTAAAACAAGGAAAACAATATTTATTCTTCTGGTGAAAAATTGTTGCAAATAGATCAGTTAACATAAAAATGTTCACTCTAGATAGCCAAGCCATTAAGTAAACACCACTTCACAACTTAAATGTCGTTCCACAAAATTGAGGCAACCGGAAGTTGAGTGGACTGGGTCTGGACACGAATGCATTAGATGATTAGCAAGCGATATAATAGTCAATCGCTGCATATTATTTGATTTTTTAAATTGAAGACTGTTTCTGGTGTAACCTCAAGGACCATCATCTGTAATTGGCAGTGCATATATCTGGGCAAAAAGAGGTACGCAATGCATGTCGGGAAATTGGTTTTGGGTAAGAAGGTCATTTCGGGTTTTTGTTCTGACATCAAAACATTTGAAAATCACACTGTATTGATAAATATGGCCTTTTATATATACTAATACCGTTTAGGCAAATGTTCAATTCACAAAGGAGAATTATCAGTGGTGCGTTAGCAATTTTGTCTAGTGTACATTGTGCCCCTTTATAATTTTTCATGCGAGATGAATTCAATGAAGTTGCCTTCATTTTAAAGATACAAGTCAATTAAATTAAATACATGTTGATTTCGAATGTGATTTGACATTTTTGGTTCTTTTAGCACGTATTTAGAGTACAACAATAATGTCTGAAAATAATCTATTTTTAGCAATTCACACTGTTTTTGCACGTGCTCCTGTGTAAAAATAAGCATATTAAGGTATTGTTTTTAATATCTAAAATTTAAGAGCAAGTGGTCAGGAAATGTCAAAGTTTTGAAAATTCCACACAAAGACTTTTCAGACATAGGTCCCTCCTTAAAACATTATATACATTGTATAACAAATTTATTGATTTTTATTTATTTATTTTATTTTTTTTTTTGCGTTCCTCATTTCTTTGCTAACATATGCATAAAGTAAACAAGCAATTAGATAAAAAAAAAAGAGAGAGAGAAACTTAATTGACATCTTTTCTTTACTCAACTTTTCTACATTTTAAATATTTGAATATGTGTTGGATAAGGAAGATTCAGAAAGAAAAAGAGAGTTCCATATAGAATATATTGGAAAACTCTGAAGTATTTTAAAACACATCTAAATTATTATGTTAAGTTCAGAAGTTATGGGCAAGATTTAAAAAAATGAATTTTCTTGAACAAAGGGTCCAAGTTCCAAATGTCAAATAAATATATTTTGATGATTGTTAAAAAGAAATAGTAACAATTTTAACTATGGTTCATAGAAGGGGAGTTATAAAATGACATTAATGATTTTCTAAACATGTTTCTACAAATAGTTAGATGTTATTTAAAAACTGGATCATTTTATTTAGGAAATTTTAATACTTGTTTGATAAAGGTAGAGTTTTTTTTATCACTTAATCAAAATTCAAAAAATTAAAAAAAGAAAGTAATTGTGAAGGACATGCCTAAGTGATGAAAGGCAAGAAAGAAGGCCAATGGCATATGGTTCAAACTCAACTGTAGTACTTGATATATTTAGTTTTCTCTCTCAATAAGGTGCTTTATCTGTACTGTATTTCGATTGGACCTGCTGCAATTTGTTCGCACTTGCGCATTTTGATTCCAATCCAGTGGGAGAATGATTTTTATCCACAAAGCATGACATAAACCGGATATGAGCTATTATATATGTTTTAATGCTCAAAGTTCAATTTAACCTTAATTGAAAAGGTTAAAGTATAATTTATTCAGTATAAGATACATGGATCATTTTCAGGTTTTACTGTCAAGTACATTTGTTCTAAAATGCATCATCTTCTTTCCATTTTAATAAGTAATTTACCAACTGTGCTGTAATGAGAAAAATCATATGCTATCCCAATGGGTGACGTTCCAAATACATCACTTCTATTCACAGATGCTCCCTTTTCAAGCAAAAAAGAAACAAGTTCATTGTCGCCTTTCATACTCGCTAAAAACAGAGGTGTTCTACCCCAGATGTCAACAGCGTTTACCTCTGCACCGTGGGATATCAATGAAGAAATTATTTTCATATGTGACCAGTCTATCTCTATATAATAAAGTAAATCGGGATGTGTAATGTAGTTATACCGTTCCATGCATGCGATCCAGAGAGGAGATATTCCATAAACGGAACAAATGTTTACTTTTGCATCATGAGACAGTAACAAACAAACGATATCTGAGTAATCTCTTTGGCAAGCAATCCATAAAGGTGTAAAGTTTCCTTTACTGCGTATATTTACGTCTATATCGCATGATAAAAGCAGTTTTGCAATTTCCAGCATATTGTTTAAACATGCATGATGCAATGCAGATAGACCCTCGTTGTCTTTCTTTTCAAGATAAGTTTTATTTGAGTTTTTTGAAAGTATTTCCTTAACAACTGCCACAGGATTTGATTTTTCGAAGGAAAACTTATCGGTCTCCTTAAACACTGATATTGGGGCATTAAAAACAAAAACATCATCGACGGTGCATGAGCAAATCAATGCTGTATAATGATTAGCCTTGGATGTATACATGTATGAAGCCCCATGTGATAGTAACACAGAAACAACTTTCGAATATCCATTAAAGCAAGCGACCATTAAAGATGTCAATTTTTCACCGCCAATCTCATGCCAGCGGTCTACTGATGCACCTCTTAATAATAATAAATTAGCGACTTCGTGATACCCATTACAACAAGCTATAAATAAAGGAGATATTCCATATCCTGGGGCAACACAGACAATTGCATCAGAAGTTCTACTAACCAAAAAACGCTTTAGTAATTTGATGCCTGACCGCTCTATAAACTTTTCAGCCTTTCCTATATCTTCCTGCGTACACAAGTCATTAGAAAGTTCATCCACTGACTTCGAAGAAGTTTGCAATAAAATGTCAACTATTTCGATATGCCCCTTTGCACAGGCAACTTTTAAAGGTGTCCAGCCAAATATATCACAAGCGTCAATATTAGCACCTTTCATTAGCAGCATCTGTACAATAGATAAATGACCCCGACCACTTGCTGCAAGTAAAGGAGTCCTCTTTTCTTTATCACATTCATTAACATTCACATCTCGTTTTAGGAGTAGCTCAACATTGTTTACATGACCTTCTAAACTTGCTGTATATAAAAGTTTTTCAATCAGGCGTGTCAAGTGTATTTTTGATAGATCAGCTCTAGAAAAAAGGTTGTTGAGAAGCATATCAACAACCAAACAATGTCCTTTTGCACAAGCCCTTATGACGCCGTTCATAACATGACTAGTCGACAGTGTTTCATCTCTTAAAAAGTGCTCTATTATATCAACATACCCATGGATACATGCTATTTCTATAGCAGTAATAAGACAAGGCTGCAAATAACCTTGTTTAGGAGAACATATGTTCTCTAGGACCGAGACATCAAATTTTGAATTACCAGTGAACGAAAACGCTTCCATAAAATAATTTGCTACCTTTACATTTCCTTTAATGCATCCGATCGTGAAACCCGATAAATGTATTATTTTACAGTTGCAGCGGTGAACAAAAAGTTGAGTTAGTAATGCACTACTGTTGCAAATAAAACACATTTGATTCCTTTTGACTATTTTTTTATATATGAAATGAATCATTTCTAGATTATCTCCAAAGGACGAGAGGACCAATGTTGCATGTTGACTGTTTTGTATTTGATTTTTAACTTTTGTTTCTGTTATGTCATACGACTTTTTAAACATTGTGAACCATCCAAAGCCAATCAACCAGAACGTAAATGATAGGGGTCTTAGGAGTTCTTCACGCATATGGAATATGTCATAAAAGGTTTCTTTATATGGCAAAGAATCGAGAACAGCAATAATTCTGTTATATCTATGGATACCATCTAAGACAACCTTCGGGTTTTGTTGTTTGTTAATGGATTTCAATAGTTGTCCTAACATATTTTCTTTTTTTAAATATGTATATAATTGCTCTTCAAGTTCAGGATTAGGAAAAAATGGGTTTCTAAATGTTACAAGCCAATCCTTCGTTGATAAATCAATGCTGACTCTTTCTATGAAACTGTTGAGGTCTTTTCCATTCAGAATTATGAAAAAATCATCTTCGGTATTGTCACCAGGTAATCGTCCCTTTGGTCTTACACGGTCGCGAATGAACGAATCACTTGCGTATTTTGCAAGAATAGGAAATCCCGATTTGGAACAAAAATGAAAAGCAATGATATCTCTAATAATGGTGTGATGAAAATCATATTCATCTTCACCAACTTTGCACAAATATGTGTCGTTCATCGCAATAATAGTTTGTCGTATAAGTTCATGTGACGTTCCCGATTCTAAAGTACATTTGTCTAGAATGCTTTTAAATCCTCCCTCTACATTCGCATTCGAATTTTCTGGAAATCTGCATTTGAAAACTAGACAAAATATCAAAACAAAATAAGACATTTTGTTTTCAAGATACATCCTTTCAATTTCACTAAGAAAATGTTTAAATGGAAAGTTAAAAAACTTTTGGGGGCTTTGCTTGCTTTGGGCACACATTCTACAGAGCAATGGGAAACTGTCAAATTGCATGATCAATGTTTCTGTCAAGGAAAATTTTTCTGGATTCTCTCTCAATAGATTTTGAAATATGTGTTTTCTTTCCAAAACTTTAAGACAGTTCTCCTGGCTTTGAGCATTTATGCATTTAACATCCGATAAAAAACTTGGAAACCTATCATTTTTTGTTAAAAATGATCTACAAGATATTAAAATTTTACTGTTTTCCTTTTTATTTCTGTTTCCTTCAGCATGATCAGGATGTGGGGAATCTTCTTTGTCGGCATTTTTTTCAACAAAATTATGCTCTATTATAATTTTCCATCTTATTAAGTAGTTTTTTAATTCTTCCCATTGTCGCACGCGGAATTCGTCCAAAGAATAAACACCTAAAGCATCATCGACTACAAAGACTTGTTTTTCGTCGCCTAAGTAATATTGTTTTATTTCCATTGGACTCATGGCTGGTATAATATCATATCCTTTGTTCTTTAGAGTTAGGGCAATGTGGCACATTGTAGCAGTTTTTCCTGATCCCGAGTTTCCAGTTATCATTACGAAGTTTTCCAATGTTGCTGCTTGTAAAGCATTCCTCGAAAATGCTGTTTCGTAAAAGGTTTCATCTTCTTTCATCCAACTTTGCAATTCATCATTAATATCACCTAAAAATAGATTTGTCTCCAAAATCATATCACAAAAAAGTGTGACTGCATACACTAACTCACTTCAAAAAAGATATTTATTACAGAATTTTTCACAGACATTCAATTTATAACATTGTGACTACAGTGTATCCACGTCTCCGAATTATCAAGGGAAAAGATAAGTTCCAGCCCGAAGAATAAAACCATTTTTCACATATCACTTTTTATATAGTTACCAGGCTTATTCCAGAAGATTTTTATATTGCTGTGGGAAACCTTAGACGCTTAACTTGGACGTCTTACTGCCATCAAAACTTGTTTAGTTACCAAATTAATTTTTGCATGATTTAGGATTCCAGGTGGGGTTTTTTTCTTTTTATTTGCATTTTCGGGCAATATGCACATTTGATAAAAACATTATAAAATAACTTCATTATATTTTTCCATTGGAGTTTTGATTATATTTTAAAAGACCAGGTTGTGAGGGGATTTTCTAAAAAAAAATAAAAATAAAAAAAGGATCTATGGGTGTTTTAAAAATATACAATACCAACAGAAAATGTTAAAAAAAATATAGTACTCATATGATAACCATCTTTCTAGAAGACAGACCTTGATACTTTATGCCATACAGGGCCTCAGAGAAAAAAGTATGTTGCTGACAGTAAAACGTTGCTCCTTTTTCGACATAAAAATGACATTTAATTGAAAACTACTACTAATGTTCCTACTGAAATACCGGTAATACATGTTTAAAAAAAAGTGATTAATTCAGCATCACTACATTTATATTGATAAGATTGTTATGTGTTTTTCATTTTTGCAAAATATCCTTACATGAATACTGCCTAACTTTATCTTGACACAGCAAAGTCGGGACATGTTTGCTAAAAAACCCTGTATGTCATAAAATCATAAATTTAGACATTTCCTATGTGTTATGGACTAATGAAGTAACGTTTTTACTATATATCAACGATTAAAGAGAATTCATTTGTGCTTTTTAGCTCACCTGAGCTGAAAGCTCAAGTGAGCTTTTCTGATCACATTTTGTCCGGCGTCCGTCTGTTTTACCGCTTGTCCGTCTGTCTGTAAACTTTTCACATTTTCGACTTCTCCGCAAGAACTGCTGGGCCAATTTCAACCAAACTTGCCAAAAAGTATAATTGGGTAAAGGGGATTCAAATTTGTTTAAATGAACGGCCACGCCTTCATTCAAGGGGAGAAAATTGGGAATTACTGAAAATTTGGTGGCATATTTTAAAAATCTTCTTCTCAAGAACCACAGTGCCAGGAAAGATGAAACGTATGGGGAAACATCCTCAGTAAGTGTAGATTCTAGTTTGTTCAAATCATTACCCCCGGGGGTAGGGCGGGGCAAAATGGCCGACCTAAGTTTTTCATAGAAATATATAGGAAAATTCTTTAAAAATCTTCTTCTCAAGAATGACAAAGCCATAATTCATCATATTTATTTGAAAACATGTTCAGGTAGTGTAGATTTAACTGTGTTCAAATCATTACCCCCGGGGGTAGGGCTGGGCCAAAATGGCCGACCAAACTTTAACATAGAAATATATAGGAAAATTCCTTAAAAATCCTTTTCTCAAGAATGACAAAGCCATAATTCATCATATTTATATGGAAGCATATTCAGGTCGTGTAGATTTAAATTTGTTCAAATCATTACTCCCGGGGGTAGCGCTGGGCCAAAATGGCCGACCAAACTTTTACATAGAAATATATAGGAAAATTCCTTAAAAATCTTCTAAAAAATGATATAGCCATAATTCATCATATACATATGGAAGCATGTTCAGGTAGTGTAGTTTCAAGTTTGTTCAAATTATGACCCCCCGGGTTAGGGCGGGGAAAAATGGCCGACCAAAGTTTTTAAAGATTAATATAGGAAAATTCTTTAAAAATCATTTTCTAAAAAAATAGCAAAACCATGATTGGTCATTAGACTACTTTTGGATTTAAACTTTTCAAGAAAAAGCCATTTTCTACTTTTTCCTACCCTAAGTGCACAGGTGAGCAATTTGGCCCATGGGCCTCTTGTTTATTTTTTTTTTATTTAGGACAGTTATGTTGGTTTGAGAGTTGTTGTGATTTGGGCCTTATTCATATACGAGGGGTTATCAAAAAGTTCGTGGACTAGCGTCATAAAATTAAAACCGCTTTAGGAACATCAGTGAATTTTAAAATATCTAGTTAACATCATCTTTTCTATCTATAGAATAAACCACAAATCATAAATTTTATTTTTTAATAAATTAGTAATGTTTTTGTAAGCAATGGTATGCCCAGGCGGCGCAACCTCAAAAACGACGTTTTTGCGACGTATGTGTAACTGAGAAAAACTCTTCTGATTTGATCATTTGACATCCAAAAATCCCCTTAATTTAGGTATGTGTCTGGACACAATTGTTTCATAAAATATGAAATTTCACTTCATTTTGGAAGTTCTATGAATTTTTACTGGAAATTTTACACGGAAAGACCAAACAAATGAGGCTTTGAAAATGACGCCAAAAGGGGCAGGGGTTTCCGTTTCTAACATTCTATAAAGTTTTGCCCCTAAAAAACTTGAATAGACCTAACATTTGTTGAAACTGGCTACAGAGAAATGATATACATCCCGAGTACTTGTATTTTTATGTCAAAAAGATTCAGGGAGAAAAAGGATACTAAGTTAATGTCGACTTGCAGTCAAGTTGTGAATTAAAATCAATCACGTCAATAAATGACGTTGATCATGTGTTGTAGATATTGGACTCCCCAAAGCAAAATATTCTTGCACAATCAAGCGAGGATCTCTCCTAATGTATTAATCCATTTGGAATATTATATTCCTTGAAGGCCACTGTTCTTGACATTGTAAAATCATATAAACAAGGCGGGTTTAAGTCTGTACTCATGCAGCTCCTGGAATTCTCATCAAAAATGTGTATTAGGTAGAAGAAGCGGACATTGAAAACAATGACGTTGTAGAACGTCATGAGAATAAACGACGACAGTGCCGGGTGATCATAGAATGTCGTTTTCAATTTATAATAATTTGGCAAATATAGGACATATCAGGCAAAAATTTTCAACAATTCTTTATTTTTTGTTGTTTTATGTTCCATATAAACTTCGAAAGCACAGCCTACATAGAACTAATTTTATAGCTTCAGTCCACGAACTTTTTGATGACCCCTCGTATTGTTCTTGGAATATCTTGCACTTTATACTTACGTCTTATATTAGATTGCACAGGATCTTTTAGCTCTCTCAAAACCTGATGGAGCGTGGCCATTACTTCACCGAATGTTTCTTGAATAAGCTGGATTTTTTCAGCTAATTCATTTGGCGTCGCAATCTTGATATTCTTGATTTCATCATTAAATGCGCCTTTTCCTAAACGCTGTATGGCCTGTAAAAATAATATTTTAAATAAACTGCATACCTTATTCATATTTTTAGGGATGGCAATCGATTACAGAATTGCTAATTATAATTAATCGGTTAACCACAGGACGTTCCGACCGATTAACCGGTTAGTCGTATCTAGATGTTCATTTTGACTTTTCTTCATATACACAAGAAGGCTAAAAAAGACATCAGCAGTTTTATTCTGTTAATTATCTTGATCTCGATGTGCATAAGAGTATATTTTTTTTAATTTCACTATACAAAAAAAAATGAAGAAAACCATGAATCTTGCCTGAGAATCAGACATAGATAATTTTCCAACGCAGATGTGAAAGAAGTTTATTCTGCATTATCACCATAATTAAAAATATGTCTGAACTCTCACTTTATTTACACTTTTTTCCTAATAGTAATATGACATAACTTAATAGATAACGGCAAAATATAAACATACTTATTTAAAGTGCTAAATGGTGATGTTTTACTATCATTTAAAAATCACATGCAGGGCAGTTGGGTTAACCACATGATGTTTTAAAAACAGCAATTAACACTTTACAAACTGACCAATTACCCCATGACCCCAACCAGGAGAGCTATAAATACTTTACATGTAAAATTATTTAATTACAAGCTATGTTATTATGCTAAATGATTTTTAAGCAGTGGCTTCCTTTCTAAAAAGTGAATTTTAAAGGAAATATGTTAAAATTTACATATATTTTTCCCCCAAATAACCGATTACGGGTTTTCTGATCGATTAGCGTCGTTCCGACCGATGGATTAATCGATTAACCGGTTAAGAATTGCCATCCCTAATATTTTTCAATATTCATTGCTTTTGTATATTATATTGCTGTTTGTGCAGATGTTTTCAGGACCAAATGTAAACAAGTTTTGTTGGCTATCCTATGAAAATAAAGGACTAATTATTATTAATATTATTATAATTATTATTATTTATTGGTTTGTTCATGAGAACCTATAACAACATGCTTGAAATATATTAAAAATCTTAAGTACATCGACCAGGAAGAATTTAATAAATTCGAATTACAATTTCCATATCCTTCCATAGTTTGTCAAAATTGTCTTTGGTTAATTTCCCATCATGGTTATGAGCAAGTACATTTCGAATATTCCAAATTCTCAATAAGTCTGCTCCTTGGGAAGAATCGATAAATGACGGTTCCCTGTCCCATCCGTTCATAGGCGCCGGAATTTTTGTAAAATTTCGGAGCAGGAATATAAGAAGTGTAATGTCCAGTTCATCTGGATTAACATCTTTTCCTGCATGAAAGAATAATACCATTTCAAATAACTGAAAATTTAATTTGAATATCAGTGAATATATTTGCTACTCTAAAAAGTATTCATTGGTTTATATGTGTGCTTATTTAGTTCTTATAACACGATTTATAATTAAGATCTGCTTTCTTATGTTAAGCTCAAGAAACTAGAAAAGTATATTTTTAGGTTTGTAATATGCTGCAGCATTACCTCTAGAAATTTAACTTAACTTTTGTTTCAAAGTGTATGTGAATTGTTTTAAAATGAAATTAATGATGAACTTCATTTCAGCGTCTTTCCCTACTTTATAGTATTTACTACATTAAATATTCCATAGACTAGTTTGTCTGTAGTTAAGAACTTTAAACGATGACAAAATCTAAGGGGCAAAGTTGTCCGTTACCATACCCGTCCTTTCTGTCAGAAACATTTTTTTAAGTGACTTTGGAAAACTACGATTACCTGAATCTGGAAAAAAGGCTTGTTTCATATGTCTTTGAAAGCCCTTTACTCTTTCAAGCTCCACATTTTTGGACTTCATCTCTTGAGTAAGGATGTTATTGTCAGGATGTTTTGAAACAAAAAAATTTCTCACAGCTTTCGGTGCGACAGCATATATAACATATACTGCGCGTAGAAAGTTAGTGTGTTCTACTTGCATAGAATTCATCTTTACGTCGATCTATAACGCACTACAGTGAGAAAAATAATATACGTACTACATCAGCTGTACATGTATTTGGCTAATTTGAGTTTTTGAATTCAACAAAAAAACATCTGTGTATTAAGGACTCTTTCTACACAAGTGCAAAATGTTTTAAGACATTGAGAAAATTATATTGAATAAATAAATATTGAGCTTATCTATTCAATTTTCAGTGTAATTGGGGAGTAGCATTTATCCCCACGGTTGTTTACTTCTATTGTGAAAATACTTGTAAATAATCAGGGATGGGGTAATGGTAATGTGTAATGGTAATTGACTGTAATTAATTACAAATTTCGATGTAATTGAAAGTAATGTGTAATTGACCAAATTTTCAATTACAAGTAATGGTAATTTAATTAATTACTTTCCAAAAAAGCATGTAATTCACAATTACTTTTCAATTACATTCAATTACACTGGTTTTAAATAAATAAAAGATAGTCTCCTTTCCCTCAATTTCATAAACATTATCTATGAAAGGTAAACAACTCATATTTTGGACCAAAAATTTTAAAAGTTAAATTTAAAAAAAAAAACTTCCCTTTTTATGTCAATGTTGTTTAAATACAATGCCCCTTTCATTAAAAAAAATTAATTCAAATTAATCTTTATAAAGTTTACAAATAAAATTTATATTTTTTAATTAAAGGATTAAAAATTAATTAATCCATATAAAAATAAGAAGTCCAATGGCTTCTAATCCTTTTGTTGGCCATATCTTCAGCTTGTGTTGAAAGTTATTAACAGGTGCTAATTAGTGTCCTGAGGTCATATACTTATTCCTAAATAAACATTTTTCACACCTTTGACTTTGTCTGTTGGTGTTTTTATAGTCATACTCTTTGACTTTAAATTGTAGTATGGCACAGAATAAGTCAAATACCCACTTTTTGAGGGTAACCTATGATGCTGAAATAAGGAAGTATAAAGGCAAATTAAAGCATCAAAAGTACATTTAGCATAAATCTATCACTTGTTTATCTTAAAGTTTGAAAATAATTTCAAAATTTAAACACATGAATTATGGTAAAATCATCTTTAAATTTTTTTTCTAGTCAGTATCTACATGTATGCGTTCTTCTCACAAATACCCAAGTGGAAAGAATTTTCAGCATGGCAGGAAAATCTTCAAATTTAATAGATACCCCAGTATTAGGTTAGTGGACACAGTATTTGAAAAATGTCTGAAGATTTTAATAATATTATTGAAAAAAATGTTGTAAAATAATCTGTTTTAAATGTAAAGGAATATACATGACTTTTAGCTTTTATACGTCTATGAATGTAATTTGTAATTTAATTAATTACATTTGCAAAGTAATTGTAATTTAATTAATTACATTTCAAAATCCATGTAATGGTAATGGTAATTTAATTGAAGGTTTTGGGAAAGTAATTGTAATTTAATTAATTAATTTCCTATGTAATTGACCCCATCCCTTTAAATAATATGATCAATTTATTTTTCATGGCCTATTAAAATGTCAAAAATTCTTGTATTGGTTAAAAATTTCTATTTTCATTGACAATTTATTTCTAAGGGCATATCACTCTAACTGTAGAAAAATACTATAAAATCAGAACTCTTTAGTGTGCAGTGTAGAGAGGGTTCTTAAAACGTTAAAAGTAAGAAGAATCTTACATACTTAAATTTCAGCGTTACTTGAAGATAAACATATGGATCTTATGACGAATGGATCTTTAATTTCTGAACTCGGAAATGTAGCATAATGAAGTAACTGAAATAAAAATATATCTTCATGAGTTATATAGCTATATATATCTTTAATGAAATATGTTGTATCGAACAAAATCAAGATAAAGTGCAATTAAACAATTTAATTTGGAGAATTTGTGTCCCCCGCTTAGGTTAAAAAAGGAGCATGTACAACCCGGGTGGGGTTCGGATTCCCAATGAAATTTTAGATTATTAATTAACCTTATACATGTACATCAAAGGGAAAAAATGCCAATATATGGATATATATTTGATTGCTTATTCTTTATTAGGTGTATAGAAGATTCTTTAACTGATAAAGAATATTTATCACACTGTAATGATGATTTTATGAGTTTGTACAAGCCAGATGTCATAACTTTTTAATTTCACATGCTGAATTCTATCGTTTAATAAAAAAAACTACTTTAAAAAAAACAACGGATTATCCTTGATTCGTACCCGGGCCTCTCACTTTTCAAGAGAAAGACATACCTCTGCACCGAGGAACCACTTGATTACAGCGTAAATTGTTTGCAAACATTAGGTCACATACATGTATATATTCATGTTCGATAAAATATTGATATTGTCAAAATTTTACACAATACATGATGCCTGCCTTTACTAAACAGTTCAAATCGATATTATAAGAATAGAAAGTCCGTATTATACGAAGTATCGTTCCACATAACCCTTTGCTAAAAATGGTGCCAATTAAGTGACAATAAATAAAAATAAAACAAACGGGCGGGAAACTTTGAGAGGGATTAGAGAGGCCCTAGGGAGTTTTGGTATGAACTTTCAATGAAAAAGCTCAAAATCATGAGATATCGCCTGGAAACATAAGTGTTACATACATACGAATGTATAAATTTACGACCTTGAAATTTGACCTTTTGACCTCAAAATCATCAGAGTCTTCCTTAGGCCCTTTAACCTCAAAATCAATAGGGTTCCTCTTAGGCCATAGGGGGTTGCCATGCAAAATTCATATTTTGCTCAAAGCTCAAAGGAAACGAAAGCGATACAGACATAGAAATGCAAACAGACGAACAGACAGATCAAAATTAATATCCCCCACCTTCAGTGAAAGCGAGGGATAATAATACAGATCAAGAGCATAACCTGAATATAATTATTGACCTTAAAAACATTAGAGGTGAGATCAGGTGCCCCTTACTGTGTGCTCCGTATCAAGTTCGGAAAAAGGATATATATATATATACCGGTATATATATCAGTGTGAAAATATGTCAGCATATGACACTCTGGACTGGACTTCAACCTGTTTTATCAGTCAGCTAAGTGATTTGGCTGATAAAACATTATCTTTATCTTTAAATGAAAGCATGTGACTTCTGGACTTTATCATCAGGTGATTTCTACCAAACAAAGTACTGCATATTTATTACCTTTTTATGCGCCCTGATCGATAGGTCAGGGACGTATATTGTTTTGTCCTGTTTGTCTGTAAACTTTAACCTTCTCACTAACTTTTGAACCATGGAAGACAGAGACTTCATTTTTGGTATCCATACTCCACTAATGAAGCTCTTTCCAATGACGCCAGGATGAATGACCTTGTGACCTTGACTGTGACCTATATGCTAAAAATAGCTTTTTCGAACTTTTTAGCCGCCGGGCGCATAGCGTTTCACAAAGTTTAACACTTCTTGTTTTATATCAATTATGCAGAGATTATTATAGATACTTGAGCTAGTGGATTTCAATGTTCAAAAATGATAAAATGGTCATCTAAGATGATAATCCTTGGCGATCAGGACTTACAATAACCCACGTAACGTTTGTAAAAATTCAAACAATTATCATTGATGATAATTTCTTAACGAGGTTGGGTTGAGGGGAGGGTTACACTATTTTACAGAATCATTTAACGCTGGAAAGGTTTAGTACTCAATGGTTTTTAACAAATAAGTGAAAAATTCAGAGTGTAAGAATATCCAAACAATTATTTAAAAAAGATTACCCACGTTTGTTTGAATTTTTACGTGAAACCTGAATCCATTGCTTGCAACACGAAATTTAAAAACTTAACTAGATACCTTTGACCAAAAACGAAAATGTCTTCAAAAAGTATAGAAGAGAAGAAGGTGCGTTTAAAGTTAATCCTTTTTCATCAACGACAGCGGTCTTGTTGGAAGGCCGTTTAATTTAATGGTCTTAAAGGTACTTGGACACACATTTGGGGGTGATTTTTTCTGAACAATATTACGACTTATATATTTTAATAGCATTTCACACAAAAATTAATTAAAAATCTTATTTCATTTAAAAGTAATTTAAACTTTAAATTTTTTGGCGGGTTTGATTGACACAACCTTGCACTTTCACAAATTTTAAGTTTATTCTTAATACTTAGGGAAAGTGGCAATCTTGTTGTGTATAAATGAAAAATATTAATGCTATAATCCAGAAAAATCAGAGTAGAAATTTTCGAAAGCAAAACAAACACAATATATTCTCAGTCTGTGCAGTTGTGGTGAGCAGACTTTGACGGCTGAACGCACCCAGTGAACCGTAAACAATCAACAATAACAGAGCTCCTACCCTGTTTACAAAAACTGTGTCCAAAACACGGGTGTGATCGATTTGCACACAAGATTTAGTTCAGAATGACAATACTTGTGAAGGAATTTTGCTTTGTAACATTTCTACTCTGAAAAAAATATTATTTTTCTGGATTAAAGTTTTAAAATATTTTTTTCATTAATACACAAAGAGATTGCCACTTTAACGAAGGATTAAGAATAAAAATAAAATTTGTGAAGGTGCAAGGATGTGTCAATCAAACCCGCCAATTAAAAAATTTGAAGTTTTAATAACTTTTAAATAAAAAAATATTTTTAATTAATTTTTGTGTGAAATGCTTTTAAAATATGTAATTCATGATATTATACAGATAATATTAACTTCAAATCTGTGTCCACGTACCTTTAATGGAATCTAGATTAAAATTTGATAGATTAGATTATAAAACGCCCCTTCTACTCTTCTATTTATATATACCTTTCGGATGAGACCTTAAAAACCGAGGTCCCGTGTCGCAGTAGGTAATGGCACGATAAAGATCCATCACTGCTCAATGGCCCTG